AAATATAATAATTTGAAATATTCTATTGATTCAAACTATTTTACATCTTTTTTCAGTTTTGTAAAATATTTAGATGCATTATTTTATTTGCTTGTTCCAGCTCCTAAAATGAATGATAAATAATAATATCTAATTAATAAATGAATAAGATATAATTATAAAATAACAAACAAGAAATGATAAAAACAAGAATAATAAAATACAGAAGAAGAATAAACAATAAAATATAATCGAAATATAAAATCATAAAAAGAAATAGAAATTAAAAAAGATTCTACTCATTATTATTCTTTTGTTCAACACATACTGAAAGAAAATAAAAAAGATTAAAATTAGAAGAAATTAAAATAATTACAAAATTTTATCATTTCATCAACAAATGAAGACTATAAATATAATTATAACAACACAAAAATGATAAGAAAATTCAATAATAAGAAGAAAACAAAGAATGAATGGAAATAGAAAAACAAGAAATGAACAAGTAGAACATATTTAAAGAACAGAACTAAAATCTAATACATTTAATGATTTTATTTCTATTGATTATTGTATTTACTACTGCAACACATATTAATATACATTTAAAGAGTGAAATAATATCAACATCAGTAGGTGCAAAACCAGTAGCGCCAAAAGTAGAAGAAATACAAACACCACCACCTGAAGTACCAAAACAACCACAAAGTGATGTATCATCTCAAACAGGACAACAAGATGGACCATCACCAGGACAAGCTGCGTCATCGGTGTCAGGAACTGCTATATCACCTGCAGCAGAAGAACCAACAAAAACCGTGTCATCAGGAGGGGCATCACCTGCTGGACCAGAACAACCCCAAGCTGGTTCATTACCCCAAAAAGGATCGTCACATGAAGGAGAAGAACCACAGGCATCACCAGCACCGAAGGATGCAACACAAACAGAACATTCAGAACAAAATCAAGCTGGAACAACACCAGCAGTACCACCAGAAAAACCAAAAGAAGCAGAGCCACAAACAACTGGAGTTTCAGGAACAGGAGTTTCACCAAGTGTATCACCAAAAGAATCAAAAACATCAGAACCAGTCACAAACACCGCAGGAACAGAAAAAGAGTCACCAACAGAACCACAAACACAACCATCTTCAGGACCACAAAAGTCTCAGGACCCAGAACCAAAACCAGCTTCATCCCCTTCTTCAAACCCCAAACCAGCGCCATCAGATAAACCAAACTCATTACCAGCACCAACAAACAAACAAGATGGAACAACAGTATCAAATCCAGATTCAGAACCAGCACACCCACCAACAGAAGTACCACCACAATCAGAACCAGCACAAAATAAAAATCCATCATCAGAAACATCACAATCAAATAAACCAACTCCACTACCAGAATCAAATGACAATTCACAACATAAACCATCATCAAATCAATCATCAGAGAAAAATAATGAATCAACTTCAAATGAAACAGCTCCACAACCAGAAGATAAAACACCAGTATCAACACAAACACATTTACCAAACAAAAATGAAACAACAAATGGAACAGAAAATAATAAAACAAATGATGAATTGAATGAACATACTAATCTTAATGGTGTGTCTTCAATCTTTATTATTCTTTCTATTGCTATTATTTTTATTATCTTCTAATTGATCTTATTTAACATTTTTATTTCTTCTCAATTCATTTATTAATCATTATATATGATAATTGTATAATTTCAATTCCATTTCTTATTAAAATATATTTTATCATTACTCATTTCTAATATAAAGTTAAATTCAATTATAAAATTATTAATGATAATAATATTGTAAATAATATTGTAATTGTATGAATATGTCAAAATATTGAAGAATAAATAATTTGAAAATGAAATTTATTTTTTTCATTTTTATTAACATATTTTAAAAGTGATATTTATTTAGTAATGAAATATAAGTAATTACAAATGATATGGATAGAAATTAATGTTATTATTATATATTAATATATTAATTATTGTATTATTATTATTATTTGAATTAAAATTTGTTTAATCAAATATCATTTGTATGTTTATTTATAATTTCAAAATAATAGTTAAAATGCAGATTACATGAAATAGTTATTTAATGATTTGATTATAAAATATCATTATTGTCATTATTAATTTGAATGAAATCTTTATTTCTTTATTTTTCCTTCTTCTTATTCATATTTGATTATTTTATAAATTGAGTATTGTTAAAAATTTTTATTTGTTATTCTTTCATATCATTCATTCTGTTTGTACATAACATCAATTACATATGTTAATGAATTAATTAGAACAGTGAT